TGCGCTTACTCCAGCTGGTGGTACAATATCTGGAGGCGGTATCGCCTCTCTGATCCTCTAGTTTAACATGTAATTACTACACTTCAAGGTTTTTATTGTGTTCTCTTTCTCAGATTCACTTCCAACTGTTTGGATCAATCAGAATAAATACAGATAAATGGCCATGTTGGTGGAGGGGGTGGTGGTATGTGTGTAGATGACTCTCTTATCAAAATCGGGCAGCAAAAATTGACTTCCCAATTATATGACTTATTCAATACTGTCGTGATAAATATTATATCTATTAGCCTGATGGTTGCTGTTTGTAAAGGAAGCAACAATGCACATTGCATTTTTACAGATTGAAAAACACTGTTTCCGGAGGCTGGGATTTTTTTTAAAATTTTGATTAGGGGTTGGGACAAGTAAAATTTCAGGCCTGAAAATAGTTTGTGTCAAACCCTGATAACTATTGTAATTTTCTGGGTGGAGAAGTCACCAAAATACACCTATTACTTTCTAAATTTCAAGATTTTCTGAGGACTCCCTCAACTTAAGTTATTGTAACAGACGCTATTTAAAATTATTTGATTAAAAAAAAAAATTCCTCTCCCCAAGTGCCCCCCCAAAAAAGATCATGTCAAGCCCTGGTGTAGAATCTGTGTCAAGGTTGAGGGGATGTAACATCTGCTGGTTAAGACCCTGGTTTACCAATTACTAGACCTCGATCCTTGTTCTGTCTAACACATTATCCCATCAGTAATTAATAGAATACCAGACAGTGCTGTAATGAAATTTGCTTTGGAACAAACAAGCATCTATGGGAGACTATAAAGTTATTTGAGTGCCATTTTATCATATGTTAAGATCAACTGGCAAGTTAAAGGCATAATAACTCTTTGTATGAGACCTATATTTCACAATAAAAACCTTGTGAATAACTAATAGAAATATAATATATTCTGTTTTACCACAAAAACAGCAGTTATAGCTTTTATTCTGATATTTGAACTTGTCTTTAGACCACGCGACCTCCATTGATGTCTATACGTTGTTAAAATCTCTTAAGAGATTTTAACAAAAAACCAAACTTTTTAGAAAAAAACCAGGGACTAACTTTGAATGTAAAAATGGATTCATTAACCATTGGTAAGTATGGGAAAATTGTTGTTTACTCCAGGAAAATTCATTTTTTGGCCGAAACGAAGAGTTATTATTGCTTTAACTGTGATCCAGTAAACCCTGATTTGCCTTGCATCCACACTTCTTAAGGCAACCATTGCCTTTTATCTTATGTCATCATTATTATTTTATTTTTGTAATTATATTTATTTCATGTAGAAGACTTGTATAAAAGCCTGTATATTCCATGTATTGCCTCAGTGACTTAGGTAATCGTCAATTATTTTGGATCACTTGGAACGCATTCAGAACATTCAGACTTACAGATTCGTGGATCAAAAATGGGGACCCACTAAAAGCTTGTTGTTTAATTCCCGATTAGAGACTGAATAGATTTCCCACAGGTATTATGCAACAAGAATCGAAGTGGGTCGGCCATACTTGATTTGTGGATCCGTTAGTCCACTGTTCTGAATATGCCCTCTGTGATTTAGGTTATACTCGTTGTTTTGGATCACTTGCTCACTTGCAGACATGTGGTAGTTATGAAAGGCCAGTTCAATTCAGGGCAAGCACCAGGAGAATGAAATGGCAATTTTTTCCTGACTGTTTAACATGCAGACATGTTAACTTTGATATTATTTTGTTGTTATTGATAGAAAAATTGGTATTTCTTTTGGTAGAGTATTATGTCTTTGTAATGATGTAATCCAATTTTTTGTTTTGCAATTTACATGTGTGGTATTGGTTATCTTTTTACTGGAGAATTAAATGTAGCAAGATGTTAGTACGAAACAAGCATTTTATAATTGCACACAGCCTTATCCATTAACTCTTTGTTTTAGCATAAGGTGATTGCACTTATAATATTGATAATCGTGTTTATATATTATACATTTATACATATGGAAAGATTTTGTGGTCTGATGTTTATGGGTTAGCTTGTCTTATAAATTTTAAAGATTGTCTGCTGAGTACTTATGTGTTATGCAGTAAATCACCATGTACGTATCTGTAGTGAAACAAAACAAGCCATGTGATTTTCTGCCCCTGGATTGCCTAATGGAAATTGTATAGGCCAGCAATTGGTTTGGGATTATGCTGCAGATGCCGTTTTATAGCTGGATATCATGTTCATCCCAATCTGCTTCTGTTGAAAAGAATAGCCCACTGACAAGGTATGATAATGGACGTTTAAAAGGGCAATTCATTTGTAAGGTCTGCACATGCTTAGACTGGTGACATCCAAGATGACTGGTGACATCTAGGGATTAAGTACTTTGCTGACGACAGTGTTTATGCATCTCTTCATGTTTGGTGTATAATATTTCCATAGCTCCAAGATATTGGTCACAAGCAAAGAAGAGAAGTCCGTCTCTTGTTCTCTTTGATGTTTTTTAGTAAAATGGTGAAACTGGAGTCAGTCTTAAGATTTTTTTTTCCTTTTTTTTTTTTGGTAAAAAGATTTCTTTAGAAAAAATTACAACTCATTGATGAATAAATCATGGAAAGTAGGGATTGAAGACTGCACAATATTTGATCTATTTCCTGTTCAGAAAAGACCTTGGCTCTTTTGCTGCCTAGCTTTTTGCAGCCCTTGCTTTGAGTGCATCCGCTCACACCAAGCAATTGACGTGATAATCTTGATCTAATGAAATTCTTGAGAAAAAAAGCACGAATATCTTTATTCCCAAGTGAAGGGCTTGCATTCTGTGTGACATTGATGTAGTAATAGTAATATGAACTAGTCACCAGCCCAGCAGTAGGTCACCTGGGTGAATAGAGTGCAGCTTGGCTTAGGTGGGCAAATTTCAACTGTTTTATTGAGTTTGAGAGAAGTGCCTCATTAAAAGAGATATTTCCCCAACGACAGACAGCAATTGGTTTTTCATTGGGGTGTTAATTATCCATTAGCAGAAGTAATTTACAGCGTTTCCTTCCAATCTTCACTGGTGCAGGTAACTGCTGCAGTAGGTTGCCTTGTATTTAATGTATGATCGAAGAGAAAAGGAAAAAAATCTGAGCAGGAAACCCGCAGGGCCACGGAAAGGGGAAGCACACGCTGGTCCAATGTTTTTCTATTGATTAATCATTATTTACATAGTGGAAGTTCAGGTTGAACTGGATCTGAGGCATGTGAGCAGGTGTTCTGGGTTATTGGCGTTTCAGTAGTAAAATTTTCTCCAAAGGACAGGTTTATGTTCAGGAAAATAAAGGGACAATTTGTCTTCTGTTTGAGCTGTCTTTATTTGTGTCATTTAGTGATATATCTTCTATGCTACATAGTTATTCTATGTTTTAAAATGTTATGACACAATGAGACTATTATACGACTGATAGCATTCCAGATGTGCAGGTTTATAAAAGGTCATTAGATAGATACTTCCACTGACAAACTCTAACCTGTAGATTGTGCACAATAAGTTATTATAAGCAAACTGTTTGGTGGAATTGCTCAAACTTGTAATTCATTTTGTGTTGATGTGCCATCGACCTGACTTCAACCAGTCTGTCTGCATGCAAGGCCCATTAATCTTACACCACTGCTGATGTACCCTCCTACAGTTTACTGCTGTTATTTGATTGTTTCATATTGGAACGTGGGATCAAATATATTAACCATACTGGTAATGTAAGAGTCTTTCCATAGGCTTGACCTTATGGCAGGATTTTTGCACTGAGTTGAAATAGCAACAAAGAAACACAAATAGACAAACAGTGGCCGTTGCCCTTTCCAGTAACATGGCCATCTCCAGATGATGCTGAATTTAGATTCTGGCCTTTATTTTGTTGGTGGTGAGCCTATAAGCTTCTTTTTAATAAATGCACCTTAGTTAGGTTCACTAAAGTCTTTTCTAAGACCAGCTTTTGGGTAACTAAAGCCTTCAGGTGTTCAGAGAGATGAAATAACAACATAGAAAATTGAAATAAAAGTGGAGAAAAGTGGCAATTTCCATTACTATGACCATTACTGACGCAAGTTTTGCTTTATTTAGAAACACAGGCATTGGGTTCAGTTAATAGTTGTCGCCTCGATTCAACATTGACCTGGGAATTCCTTCTTTCTTTTGTCCATCAAGTTATGATTGATCACTGTTGAATCAGTAGCATTCAGTTTAATTGGAGTCTTGAAGAGGAGTCAACAGGGATAACATACCAGTCTAAAGAACTGTTCAGAATGAGTAATGTCTACCTATCTAAGGTGCACAAACTCCATGGAATCAAGAGGAGGCGAATTAGGCTATTTATCTGATTGTATTCAGCAAGAGTCCCTGTGGAGTCAGTACGTACTAGCTAGGTTTACATAACTCATTCTGACTGGGCCTCTTGGTGCTTTGTAGACCTGGGCCCTGTAACTTGAAAGCATCGCACATTGCGACCGAGCGCAAGCATCTCGCTTCCATAACTCGCCCATACTCGCCCCTTATAATAGCCTCGAAATAAAAGGTGATATCGCTTTTCGCAATTCGCGATGCTTTTGAGTTACGGAGCCCTGATGCTGTCTTCTCTTTTTGTTTCATGCATATATACAGTGCCTGATTTGTTTTACAAGTTACGAGATACAGAAATTGGAACCTGATTATATATGTTTTGCTTCTTTAATCACTCCTATGCTTGACACTTTTCGAGATTTTCATTGGCTTTCTATTTTAAAATTTCAGGTACTAACAAAAAATTGTGGGACTCAGAAATCTGAATTTGTTTACATTTCTTGTCTCAATAAAACATTGACCTGATGATTTTATTCTTTGCCTATTCTCTACAACTGAATGGCCATTATTGGCATCGGTTCTATACATTGTTCAGTGAAAGATAAAACAAAGACTTGCATAGCAACTACATAGAAACTTAACATTGTGTAGCTGTGGGCCTGATATTTTTTCATTTTCCACTTTTAGTAGTAATGATCGTGAAGCACAGAGGGAACAAGCAAGACTGGCCAGGCTTGAGGCGTGCCACCAGCAGAAGAAGGAGGGACAGATCCAACAGCCTCTCTTTGGCATTCCGGTCAAGGTCAGAATATTACTGTACAGATTTTATCACGACTCTTTGAGTTGGTCTTAATTTTTAGACCAAATTATTCAATGAATTTTTGGGCCAATATTAATCAGTATATATGACTTTAAGTCTATTTCAATGAACCATTGCACCTGTTTTATTAAAGGAAAAAAATGTTTAAGATAATAATTTCCTGTCTAAAAGTTTAAGACATTTTTCAGTCTGAACCTCTGTTTTGAAATGGACTTCAGTTTATCAAACATAAATATCAGCATTGTTTTCTAATGAAGCATCTCCATATTATGTGATGTATATAATAGAATAGGTTTTCATGTTATATCTTTTTTTAAGAGATCTCAGTGTTAGCACCCCCCCCCCCCCACACACACACACACACACACACACACACACACACACACACACACGTGTGTAAGTTACTTGAGATCCAGACTTGCAGGCTCTTGTCGGGTGCCATAAAATAATTGAAGCAATATCAAGCTGTCAGGTGTACTCTTACTTATGTATTACTATGTACAAGTTAATAAGAATGAACAAACACTATTCATTGATAGGTACATTTATAACCTAGCATTGCATTCAAAAATTTTTTTGTTACATTTAGGGTAAAGCAGTTTTACTTTTAGCCTTTTTTTTTACAATTGCACCACAGGATATTTTCTTGAAATATTCAGTAAGGTGACAGAAAATACGTGCCAAGAATTTGTTGTAATATTTCTGTGTATGGAAAAAAGCAAATTAAAATATAAATGGGAAGGAAGTTTTGCATAAAGTATCCATGTCAGTGTTTCATCTGTGTTTTGGGTGGGCTAATTTCGACTTCGTTGAACAAATATAGCTGTGAAGTACATCACATTCCGCAGACCAGATTAGCTTCCATATTATTGGCGCCATCTATTCTGTGTGAAGACAAATGAAGGTCAGACCCTGTTGGAACATTTATAAGGCTAGCAAGCAAGATATGATCAAGCTGGTTTTGAAATTTAGTTATGTTACATGGAACAGTGTGAAAAAAAGTAATAAAATAAAAACGATGTCTATAATTCCAATGTGACTAATATAACAGAGTGCTTCAAGGATGTCACTCTGACTTAGATTGCACTCGAGTTAGCATGCTCACCTGTGTGAACACGACAGGTGTAGCTGTGAATTTCATAACCACTGCTGCATTGAAAAAAAAAAAAAAGTGAACGGGAAATCAAAGTGATAAATATCTTATTGCTATTTAGCTTTCTCTGTTCTATTATGCATGATCAAGCTGTTAGATTCATGTTTATTGAGACTCTTACGAACAAGGTCTATATAAAAATATGGCATGGCATTTGTCATCGTTATGAATTAACTGGCTTCATTGATATTTAATGAAGGAAACATTCATGTATGCATGTAACGCTGAAGAGTGCAAGGTCAATTAACGAGTGAGTGTGACGAACCTACCAGAGGAGATGTAAATGGTAAAAATGACATTTGTATTGAGAAGTATGTTTTAGACCTTGGTGCATATCCAGAGATGAAGTAAGGCTTCTTTCACATGCAATGTCTATTTTCTAAATTCTATTTTCTATTCGCGCTATCTTATGATCACGATCTGTGCCCTGAATATCCCGCCGCATAATTACTGGCAGCGCGAGCCAGTTACTTATAGTAACTTATAGTAACTGGCTCGCGCTGCCAGTAATTACGCCGCGGGATATTCAGGGCACAGACCATGATCATAAGACATACCGCAAATAGAAAATAGAATTTAGAAAATAGACATTGCATGTGAACGAAGCCTAAGACAAGTAGAAAAGGGGGGGGGTGATGCAAATATATCTCCCGAATAGAGGCTGTCCATTTGGATAGCCTCATTCCCTGGTGAAGATGCTCAAGAGAGATATCAAAATATTGGAGGTTAACATTTACATCTTGGCTGTTGATTGGAGAAAAATCACTGTACTCTTGGCGTATATCCAATTTTAAGATCACTAAAGGTAAATGACAAGGAGTACCTAGTGAACCACCTTTGAATTGTGTCTGTGGTCATCTTTTAGTCATAATTTCACTTCCAGGCAAACTTTTGCACTGTGTAAGATGAAATAAATGCCTGGGGCCGTAGATATGAAGTCAGGTGGACATGACAGATACTTCCTCCCCTTTTCAGTTCTCAGTTGTTTTTATTTACAGAAGAAAAAATATAAATGCCCTTGTTTACAATATTAGGGGTGGGGACTAGTGATTTAAGGATTTATCTCTATATGAGTGTTAGCCCAGTGTTCTTCATATTATAGGGACTGATAAAATTACAAGTACGGAAAGTTACTTGGATATACAAGTTGCTAAAAAAAGATATTTCAGGAAAATAATTAATAGAATGAAATTACCAGTTTTTTCCTCCTGTCTCAACCCTAACAAGCCTTGGAAACCACAGACTGGGTTCCCATCCTTCGATCAATCTAACAGGGTCAGTCCATCTCCATGGGGTTTCTTAAATTGCTTTCAGCTTAAGTGGCTTGGATGTCTGGGACGCCGACTAAAGCTGCTAAACATTAGTTAATTACCCCTTATCAGCTTCAATAGGCAGGACAGACATCTAAGGTACTTAAGTTAATTGCAATCTAGGGGGAATCCCCTTGGAGATAGTTCAATCCAAAGTTAGTACGATAGTCTCTGGGAATGGTCTCATACTGTATTGCCACTTTGGATTTATTGGCCCATTTAATGTTGGTCTACTTCATTGAGGATTTGAGTCATATTGCACATCTGCCACTGTCTCATAAGGTGGTCTGTAGGGAGTAGGTATAGAATAGGTATGGTTCCAGTTTGTTCACCCTTGGGGTTACAGGCAGTTTCAGTTTTTTTTTTCCAAAAATTTCCAGAAAAGTTGACATTGGGTCACGTGTAGTTATAGTGTTTATATCCTATAGATCACATGCAGTTCATCTAGGTTCGTCACCCTGGAGGTCACAAGTAAGAGGAGTTTTGTTCAGTTTACATGCAGTTCCAGCTTGTTCATCCATTGAATTTACATGAAGTATTCTAGTATCTAATGTCATTTAACATAGTTTTGGTATTTGATAGTGACACCTTATAGCTCACTGATAGCTCACTGGAAATTTAGATGTATATATATATATATATATTCTAAGAATATGATTGAATACAGGCAGTGTAAGTCTATGTACTTTAAACCTCACATAAGCTTCTTGTTATAGAATATTCCTACGTATGCCAGTTATCCTATGTTACTCGATCGAAGCACTTTCTATTTCAGGTTCTATGTGATCTAATTTTGTACTCATGATCTCTTGGGGTCATTGAACCATGGCTTGTTAAAAACCATCATCAAGACAGTTCATCTGACAGGCTATTAAAAGGAGTGGAAGACTGCAAGAAAAGCACTTGCCTTTGACTTCCAGATTAGTTTAGTGTGATAAACAGGCATATCAATGTTCACTTCCTTATTGAAAGTGTATGATTTGAAGCAGCAACAGCTACTGAGCTACACCTGTTGTTGGGGCAGGCTGCACATTCTCTTGGTGTTCTCCAGATAATCACTTGTACGTGCATGGGCCTAAAGGTATAAATAACAAGAAGCCCTAGTTTCCGCTGCCACCTTGGAGAACTCGGCCACTAATGTGATACTACCTGAATACTAGGAAATCACACCAGAAGTGATCTCAGTGAGCAATGGGACAAATAAGATAAAAAAAAAAAAAAATTGAAACTGATTTGTTTGTGTTAAATATGTGATTTGTGAAAATTTGGAGGAAAATTAGGAGGTTGTTATGAGTGAGTCTTAGCCTTCTTGGACCTCCATGTTTGTTTTATATATGATAGTTTGATATGCTAGGGGATATCTGAGGTTTCAAAAATAAATAAATAATGAATAAGTAAATAAATAAATAATAAAGTATGAGCCCCTAAAACCTGAGGTGCAATGGTGGATAGAGTGCTGATACCACTTAAAAGGTAAACATTGCCCTGTGATGACACTGCTATTGTATTTTCAATTATTCATTAACTTAAGCCTAGTCAGTTATTTATCTGATTACTATCAGCAGTCATGTCAGGTACAAGTCACTCATTGTCAATGCAGAACAAAATATTTACTGGATTTGGGTTAATGAACTTTCATCCCTCTGAATGAATTATGGATTTCTTTTCTCTGAAAATGCGCTATCATGATTGAGTGAAGTTAAGCCCTCTCCAAGAAAAAACTGATTAGGTGAAATATGGTGCAGGCAGATATGGAAATTCCAAAGTTTAAGTAGAAGTTGTTTTGACCAAATAGCTTAAGATCTTGAGACAACTAAAACCAATAACACCTGTAGCCTCATCTCTGATAAATGTTACTTGTGAGAGATTGTAAATTTGGAAACTAAGTGTGATTCTTTGCTTGGGATACATACATACATAATTTTCTATGTGAGAATCATTTTTTGCATAAGTTCCTATGTGATAATCATTTTTGCATAAGTAAAAATGTGCATGCTTGTATAACTGTGTCTTTAGCGTTGCATAAGGACGTCTAGTTTATCAGAGTCACGTGCTGGTATTTTTATACTGAGTCAAAGTAGATGGAGCTTTTGGCCTAAAAATGAAGACTAAAAGTATTAACAGTCTGCCAAGTTAGCAACTGGTTCAATGCCCATGGCCAGTAAAAATTTCATGTGAACCAGAAGATTTTTCAGAACGTGTGAATTAAGTGATCTGACACAGCCAGTTGATCTTTTCATTAATTAAAAAATTCAACTATTTCCACAATTTTCCTTAAATATTTTTGAATGTGTCTCCACAGGGAAAGTGCTCCAGTAAGATTTGACAAAATCAAGGTCTTGTTATTACAAGAATCAATTTGTAATATGGATAGATGTCCGGTCTGACTGGAATTTTCATTTGGACCAGTGAATCTTAATTTGGACCAGTTGATTCTAGATACGAAACTGGTGGTCCTCATGGCCAAGAAGCTGTAGAGTTTGTGACACAGACTGTATTAATAATATTGTGAATATAGTCCCAGGAAAATAGACGGCAGGTGATGTGTGGCAGCAGACTGTTGTGTCTAGACAGGAGGTTAAATAATGAAACCGTCTGCACTTTGCTAATATCACAAAACCAGAATCAACAGAAACACAGCACCAGACCTATTCCCAATGTCTGTGTTTATTTTTTTAAAATCAAATTTAAAGAAGGTAAATGTGTAAACTGTAGGTGTCAGTTTTATTAATTCAATAGAAAGTGTCAAAAATTCTACGAAGACTCTTTATTTAGTCTGATCTGACACTAGTGGATGAAACAGCTGACCTCCCCCAATAAAAAAGGAGAGAAATTCAAGGTTTGAAAAAAAGAAGTTGGTCATAGGACACTCTGATTAAAGAATGTCATCATGTAGTCAGTAAAATTTTTTATTATTACTATTTTAGATCGTACGAGAAGATTCCACTACACAACAGATCAAAAACGTTCTGGGAGACTATGACTTTGTGCAGCAGACGTTACACTCGCGAGAGGCCAAAAATCTGATAGGTGTGCAGAGCATGCCCGCGACACCAGTGGCCACAAAACCTCCAAGTAACTTATTCCCACCGCCTCAGCAAGTGCAGCAACTGGCAGGCAAAAATGGCGTGCGATTACGCGACGAAGAAAGACGCGATGTGAAAGAAAATGGGACAAAATTTGGTGGAACCAAGTGTTCCCATCATCCATCTGGATGGCAGGGAGGCGGGGATTCTAGGAGTCATCATCAAGAGGACCGCAAGTCATCGTCCCAGTCTAAAGAACCAGTCACTGACAATTCATCAGCCACAAAGCACCATGTGAGTAGCAGTAGTAATAATCACCACAGGGAACGGGACGGCAAGCATCATAGAAAACGTCCTCGTTCCACCAGCGACTCCTCCTCTAAGTCACCAAAACGGACTCAAAGGTCTTCTCAATCTGAAACTGCTGTTGCCAATGCCTTCACTTCACCAACTTTGTCTTCAAAAAACCGCAAACATGGTCGTTCTGCCACTGGAACCCAGGAGAAAAGCAGAGCACCCAGGGAAGAGTCGGGGAAACCTGCGGAAGATCCGACAGTTCAAAAAGCAGACGTCCCCTTAGTGAATGGAACTGTGCGGAACAAGGCTCACTTGAAGCTGATAATGCCTAATGTGGTAAGTAGTGTGATATTTATTACATTTCATTGTATTTTATGAAAAGAAATATCAGATGTGCAAGGGCTTTTCCATGAAGGCTGAAAAGCCACTTGTACTGAGTGAGAACTGTTTATGTTTTTAACACTCACTACACTCTCACTTGAAGCTGCTTCCTGTTGCGAGTGTCTGAAGAAAAAAAGATGCATGCAATTTGCCATGTCATTTTCTATGACATTTAAATGTGCTTGTGAAAAGACATTAAATGTGTAAGCGATTCCCATAAGGAATTAGACCTAGGAAATATGATTTATATGATATTCCATGAAATTTAACATCTTTGGAATTCTGTTTGAGTGTGCAGTCATTAATTTTGATTTTATTTATCTCTTGTTATGTAATATGTGTTTCCCTCTGTTTGTAACCATTACTTTTAAAGCAGAACAATTGGAGAAAATATTTGGTGAACATCAAATCCCCTTAGGAAAATGACTGGCCAGTTCAGTGAAGCTTTCGAAAGTGGTCTTTCAGGTGCAAGAATGGGGTCACTTCACCTGCTCAGATTGTCTGTATTAATAGCCCCACCTGAGTGCTCCGTCTGTGTTTATAAATCAATGGTCTATCTGTCTTTATAAATCAGTGGTGAACTGCAAAGATCAGTTATGACACAGAAAATGCAGTCTGTCAATGGTGAAATGCAAGCACTGTGCACTTGCTCATGTATTATAGATTTGCATCATCAAAACACTATCTTTTCATCCATGTATTATTTCATGGGTTCGCCACACTGTCTCAACAGTTAATTATCTGTCTGGTAAGAAGCCTCCTAGGTGAGCCTTATCCCAGGAACACTTTGTTGAGATATTCAATTATCGGGCTGGATATTTCCAAGTGGATTAACTGCTCATGGTGAGAAATCTGTTGTGATGCAGAGATAAAACTTGCCTTCACTGATGCACCTTGTCCAAATTAATGACACGCAGATACTCAGATAGGCATGAAGTCCGAGTAAAAAATATTCCACTTGTGTTTTAAGTTCAAACTCATGCAGTTTGTTTGTTTGTTTGCTTGTTTTTTAGCAGTAAACAGATTTTTTACTGCTTCTTTGTTCAAGTGATAATATGCAATAGATGTTTATAAAAATTGTTGTTTCAAAGAAGCCATATAGTACTGTTTTGCTGAAGTGAACAACAATGTTTATTTGGTAACATTTGAAGACCTTTTCAAAAACATGCACTTTTTCATCAGGTAAAAAAAAATTATAAGGATACTTTTTCAAAACCCAAATACTTCTTTAAAATTTCAATATAGGGCACCTCATTGCAAACTGGCACAATGTGTTATGATGTATGCTAGACAAGGATCATATGCCAACAACATAACTCCCTTATCTAAGTGACTTGATTCACACAGCTATTGCAGAATACAGACATATGATACACAGGGGCGAATCCAGGATTATAATTTTTTTTTGGAGGGGGGGGGGTCTGCAGACGCGATGCCGACACTCCCCCCCCCCCCCCCCCTTTGGCATGGGGTTTGGTATATTAGAGGGCCCACGGTGTCATTTGGTATGGTTTAGAACCATGGTTCAGCTAGTCAAAATTCTAATTTCAAGGGGGACCAGTAGTGTGATTTTTTTTAGAAATCGAAGGGGGGGGGGGGGTCAGGACCTCCCTGAACCCCCCTCTAAATCCGACACTGATAATAATAATAAGAAGAATTCAAAGTTGCTATCAATTTTAAGCCATACATTGTACAAATTTTTTGTAAATAATGTTACGTTACACATTAAATATAGACAAAATGTGAGGGCGAATTTTTGGTGTAAATTTGAAGTAGTTAATTAGCATGAGAGCAGTTTGCCATTTCATTTTCTTTTTTATTTAAAAGTACACACATGTATGTGCATTCTATGTGATTTTTTTTCTGTCTAGAGTAAATATTATGTGCATTTCTTTATCGACACAGGTTTATTCGACAGATACACAATTAACTTTGGAAATTATAGATTCAGTNGTTTTTTTTTTGAAAAAAGGGGGGGGGGGGGGGGGTCAGGCCCCCCCTGAACCCCCCCCCCCCCCCCCACAAATCTGCCACTGATACAATACTTTATTCTTAGTTTGAAATCAACTGTTTTAGCAAGTAGATTAACAAGCCTATTTATGCCACTTGCTAAGGACCACAGTCTTGGTGGCACGCCACAGTGACATTAATATCTAAATTGCCGATAATTAACCGGGTATATTCAACACTGACTTATATGTGAAGTAGGCTGTAATTGACCATATTTATGTGCTTTTTTCCACGGCCTATGAATTGAAGGAGCCTGTTATCATTTGCTGTCCTCTTGAGGGGAGCCTTGACTTATGGTAACATAATTTGATTCACTGGCCGATAAATTATACATTTAGAGGATGGCAGATAAGGCATACATGAGAGAGCAACACGGTCATTTGTTATGCACTATTGACAGTACAATGGGGAAATTATGTGTATGTACTGTGTTACTTCCTGCTGCTTTTCATTTGAAATTGATATACATATCTGATCTAGCTTTACTCTTTTACATACTGCACCAAAACGCAGAACAAAATACAGATTTAAATGGTAATTATTTAATAGAGAGAGGAGGAAGGAGATGAATGTAAAGGAATGGGGGAGGGGCATAGGAAAGAAGTAAAGTGACCTGGAGATTAGAGCATATGAACAAAAAGAGGAAAACTGCTACATAAAGATATGGCCATTGTTAATATATGGCCACTCATATGGCACAATCACTAAAAACAAGGTGTGTTTCTACTACACTACAGTTGCTCTTTTTTGTTAACAACTCGGTAATGTGCGATATACGTCGAGTACGTTCAGTGCATAGTGATTGCCTATGGGTATAAGTACCTGGTGTATAGATTATTCCAACAGTAGCCTGCTGTTAGACTGTAATTACGGCTGTATTGATTGGAGTGGCGCTCTGTGGAGATGAACACACTCATCACTGGCCGCAGCTCGTTCACTGATTGTTTACCAGCGAGACCCACATGGCATAAGCTATGAATGAGGAATACTGTGAATATTTAACTGGCTTTTGTCGCTGATTATTAACACCAAAGATTAAAAGCGCTAGTCTGGATGGGCAAGTTGGAAATTACCCAGCACCAATAGTCACCAAGACCAAGAAGAAGAAATAAAAAGAAAAAAAGAAAGATTTTTTTGTGTAAATTTGGTAGATAATTTCTATGGAATTCCCATTTTTAATTATTTTTCAAACATGCAAACATAGTTTACTCTGAAATTTCCAATTTGATAAAAACTTTTGCCACATATTTTCATTTCCGTCATTTCATATTGAAAGTTTGGCTCCTTGTTCCTTCAGTGCTTCCGCCAAGGCATTTCTTTATATCAGAGGGCAAAAAAAGTTTTATAATTAAGTTCTTAATTAATGTAGAATTTCCTTCTCTTTATGCAAATTAAGCAAATCACCATTCATGTAATTTTGATATTTAAAGCAAGACTGCACTCCAAAGTGTGATATATATATATATATATATATATATATATATATATATATTACTGCACTGTTTCAAATGTAGATGGAGCCACTGTACAAAGTCAAAGTGGTGTGAAGCATTTAAGAGCATGTTGTGTTTTATGCCCAGGAACTAATCAGTTATGAGCGGGAAGAAAAGCCCTATTGAACTCTGAGATCAATCGGCATGTTATCTAACCAGTAACTAAATGTGTAGTAAGGCTGGGTCAGCATGAACTTTACTTGATCCCTGCACAACCAGGGGTATTGACTTTATTACAAAGCAAACCTGCTGCACAGCGATCAATGCATGTGCAGATTTTGTTTTTGTTTTAAAACAGCAAGGTAGACACAGTAACCTAAGGATAAGTCCGCGTGAACTGTTGTTAGAGTTAACGGGATAGAAAGTACTTAAAACATCCTTTTACTTCTAAAAAAACTGATCCCAATGTTTTCTTCTTGTAAAAAATCACTTAGCGTAATTAGTTCAAAAGAAACAGGAAATTAACACCCCATGACATAAGAAAGTATTGTTTTTGCAGTAAGTTAACAGTGAGTGCTACGAGGAAGTTTTTGGCAGAAAAAGCAATAAACAAACAAATTTAGAGAAACAAGCAAATGATTTATGTTGGGAGCTTTGTGTTGACCCTGAAGTTTACGGAAAGTATATGACACGTGGATGACATCCTGGTCAATGTACTAAAACCTTCAAAACATCACTCTTTTGAGTATTCTAAAGTCCTTTTATAAGTTTTCAGAACCTGATTTTTATTTAAATTTGGTTTAGCTGGTGAATGAAAATGTAGTATTTGAGATGTTTTTTTCACTCTAATGCAGGCTGAAAAGGAAAATATGAATATTCAAGATAACATTTTAATTTACTGTCTCTGAGCTATATTCGCTTCTTATTAGTACTTTTTCACAGCATTCCTACATTGCTTTTATTAATGAGTGTCATCCTTAGGGAAAGACTTTTTACAGGAACTATGAAAAAGAAGTGATGGTTTACAATGAAGATTTTTCTTTTTTTTTTTTTTTGNTTCAGTGAAGCTTTCGAAAGTGGTCTTTCAGGTGCAAGAATGGGGTCACTTCACCTGCTCAGATTGTCTGTATTAATAGCCCCACCTGAGTGCTCCGCCTGTGTTTATAAATCAATGGTCTATCTGTCTTTATAAATCAGTGGTGAACTGCAAAGATCAGTTATGACACAGAAAATGCAGTCTGTCAATGGTGAAATGCAAGCACTGTGCACTTGCTCATGTATTATAGATTTGCATCATCAAAACACTATCTTTTCATCCATGTATTATATCATGGGTCCGCCACACTGTCTCAACAGTTAATTATCTGTCTGGTAAGAAGCCTCCTAGGTGAGCCTTATCCCAGGAACACTTTGTTGAGATATTCAATTATCGGGCTGGATATTTCCAAGTGGATTAACTGCTCATGGTGAGAAATCTGTTGTGATGCAGAGATAAAACTTGCCTTCACTGTTGCACATTGTCCCAATTAATGACACGCAGATACTCAGATAGGCATGAAGTCCAATTAAAAAATATTCCACTTGTGTTTTAAGTTCAAAATCATGCAATTTGTTTGTTTGTTTGATTGTTTGTTTTTTAGCAGTAAACAGATTTTTTACTGCTTTTTTGTTCAAGTGATAATATGCAACAGATGTTTATAAAAATTGTTGTTTCAAAGAAGCCATAAAGTACTGTTTTTGCTGATTCAAGTGAATAACAATGTTTGTTTGGTAACATTTGAAGACCTTTTCAAAAACATGCACTTTTTCATCAGGTAAAAAAAAAATTATATTGCTTTTAAGGATACTTTTTTAAAACCCAAATACTTCTTTAAAATTTCAATAGTAGGCACCTCATTGCAAAATGGCACAATATGTTATGATGTATGTTAGACAAGGGTCATATGCCAACAACATAACTCCATTATCTAAGTGACTTGATTCACTTAGCTATTGCAGAATACAGACATATGATACACAGGGCGAATCCAGGATTATTGAAGGGGGGGGGGGGGTCCTCGAACGCAAAGCCGACCCTCCCACCTCTTTGGCATGGGGTTTGGTTTACTAGAGGGCCCACGGTGTCATTTGGTACAGTTTAGAACTATGATTCAGCTAGTCAAAATTCTAATTTCAAGAGGGGATCAGTAGTGTGATTTTTTTCAGAAATCGAAGGGGGGGGGGTCAGGACCTCCCTGAACCCCCCCCCCCCCCCAAATCTGCCATCGATACAATACTGTATCCTTACATTTGAAATCAACTGTTTTAGCAAGTAGATTAACAGGTCTATTTAATGCCACTTGCTAAGGACCACAGTCTTGGTGGCACGCCACAGTGACATTAATATCTAAATTGCCGATAATTAACCGGGTATATTCAACACTGACTTATATGTGAAGTGGCTGTAATTGGCCATATTTATGTGCTTTTTTTCCACGGCCTATGAATTGAAGGAGCCTGTTATCATTTGCTGTCCTCTTGAGGGGAGCCTTGACTTATGGTAACATAATTTGATTCACTGGCCGATAAATTATACATTTAGAGGATGGCATACATGAGAGAGCAACACGGTCATTTGTTATGCACTATTGACAGTACAATGGGGAAATTATGTGTATGTACTGTGTTACTTCCTGCTGCTTTTCATTTGAAATTGATATACATATCTGATCTAGCTTTACTCTTTTACATACTGTATACCAAAATGCAGAACAAAATACAGATTTAAATGGTAATTATTTAATAGAGAGGAGGAAGGAGATGAATGTAAAGGAGTGAGGGAAGGGCATATGAAAGAAGTAAAGTGACCATTTGAACACAAAGAAGAAAACTGCTACATAAAGATATGGCCATTGTTAATATATGGCCACTCATATGGCACAATCACAAAAACAAGGTGTGTTTCTACTACACTACAGTTGCTCTTTTTTGTTAACAACTCGGTAATGTGCGATATACGTCGAGTACGTTCAGTGCATAGTGATTGCCTATGGGTATAAGTACCTGGTGTATAGATTATTCCAACAGTAGCCTGCTGTTAGACTGTAATTACAGCAGTATTGATTGGAGTGGCGCTCTGTGGAGATGAACACACTCATCACTGGACGCAGCTCGTTCACTGATTGTTTACCAGCGAGACCCACATGGCATAAGCTATGAATGAGGAACACTGTGAATATTTAACTGGCTTTTGTCGCTGATTATTAACACCAAAGATTAAAAGCGCTAGTCTGGATGGGCAAGTTGGAAATTACCCAGCACCAATAGTCACCAAGACCAAGAAGAAGAAATAAAAAGAAAAAAAGAAACATTTATGTGTAAATTTGGTAGATAATTTCCATCAAATTTTCAGATTTAATAATTTTCAAATATGCAAACAGAGTTTACTGTGAAATTTCCAATTTGATAAAAATTGTTGACACACATTTTCATTTCCGTCATTTCTTATTGAAAGTTTGGCTCCTTGTTCCTTCAGTGCTTCCGCCAAGGTATTTCTTTATATCAGAGGACAAAAAAAAGTTTTATAATTAAGTTCTTAATTAATGTAGAATTTCCTTCTCTTTATGCAAATTAAGCAAATCACCATTCATGTAATTTTGATATTTAAAGCAAGACTGCACTCCAAAGTGTGATATATCCATATCACTGCAGTGTTTCAAATGTAGATGGAGCCACTGTACAAAGTCACAGTGGTGTGAAGCATTTAAGAGCATGTTGTGTTTTATGCCCAGGAACTAATCAGTTATGAGCGGGAAGAAAAGCCCTATTGAACTCTGAGATCAATCAGCATGTTATCTAACCAGTAACTAAATGTGTAGTAAGGCTGGGTCAGCATGAACTTTACTTGATCCCTGCACAACCAGGGGTATTGACTTTATTACAAAGCAAACCTGCTGCACAGCGATCAATGCATGTGCAGATTTTGTTTTTGTTTTAAAACAGCAAGGTAGACACAGTAACCTAAGGATAAGTCCGCGTGAACTGTTGTTAGAGTTAACGGGATAGAAAGTACTTAAAACATCCTTTTACTTCTAAAAAAACTGATCCCAATGTTTTCTTCTTGTAAAAAATCACTTAGCGTAATTAGTTCAAAAGAAACAGGAAATTAACACCCCATGACATAAGAAAGTATTGTTTTTGCAGTAAGTTAACAGTGAGTGCTATGAGGAAGTTTTTGGCAGAAAAGGCAATAAACAAACAAATTTAGAGAAACAAGCAAATGATTTATGTTGGGAGCTTTGTGTTGACCCTGAAGTTTAGGGAAAGTATATGACACATGGATGACATCCTGGTTAATGTACTAAAACCTTCAAAACATCACATTTTTGAGTATTCTAAAATCCATTTATAAGTTTTCAGAACCTGATTTTTATTTAAATTTGGTTTAGCTGGTGAATAGTTACATGAAAATGTAGTATTTGAGATGCTTTTTTCACTCTAGTGCAGGCTAAAAAGGAAAATATTAATATTCAAGATAACATTTCAATTTACTGTCTCTGAGCTATATTTGCTTCTTTTAGCTCAATTGGTACTTTTTCACAGCATTCCTACTTTGCTTTTATTAATGAGTGGCAGCCTTAGGGAAAGACTTTTTACAGGAACTATGAAAAAGAAATGATGGTTTACAATGAAGATTTTTTTTTTTTTTTTTTTTTTTGCCATTCAAGTCCAGGTGGTTTCTGCAAATATCGTTACTGATAAGAGAACCATCCCCTGGGGTTTCACAACATTTCCAATACTTGGGCCCAGTCTTGATTAGTATTTCTGTAAGCTACTGTGTTCCTTCAAGCTTGAAATGTAACTAAGCTGTAAAGAGGGAGAGAAATTCCTGGAATTATTGAATGTTTTTTATTACGGCTCCTAGTGTCAAACATATCCTTTCACACCACATGTGGTGTTAGTGCCACAGTTTGTGAAATTGCCAAATTATTATTAACTTCGAGGAATGTGAAAAAAAAAATTAAAGGAAAATACCTTGAAATTTGGCCAAAATATCTCCTGTCAAGTAAACAGTTCGATAGTTAGCCTTGGTAAGGTCATGTGTAGCAGACCCTCTGGCTTTATTGCACTATTGTACCTGTATTGGATTTGGTTCTTTTTAAGCCAGCAGGGGTTTATAATACCAAAATATCATTTGCCACCTGCCTATAGCAGGTTATGCCATGATTCCAGCAAATGAATATACACATAACACTGTAATATCACCTACTATAGCCATGAGCACAAGATGGTTTGTATATTTGCTGTGAACTGTGTATTGGGTAAACTTTTTCACCAGCTGTTTTTCACTAGCATATATACATGTTGTGAATACCATCTGTCTTGGTACATGCATGTATGTATAGGTGCTTTGCAGTTTCTGTAGTGTGTTGGATGTATATGGAGATAACTGCAGGTCATGCATGTCTGGGATATACTTCCCGGTGCACTTATCTAACAATAGTAAACAATATACGCTGATGGAAGACCAGTGGGCCTTTAAAAAAAAAAGAAAAGAAAAAAAAAAAAAGCTTGAGGTTTTTGGGTTTAGCTAATACTGCTTAACTTGGATTACTTACAGACTATTGACTTATGAGATATTGTTTAAAGGCTTTTTTGTGAATGATATTTCTAGTAGACTACATAAATTGTAGCTGATGTTTCAGTGGGCTCACCACAGAGATTGAAGTCATTGTCAAGACAATTTCAATTTGCTCGAGAGGCACTGTTAAAAAATGAAAAACTAAAGTTGTGGTGTTTTAGCTTGTTTGTGAAACACAAATTAGTTGGTTTAAGTTTGTAGGTGTCCTTGGCAGGACTGATTTTCGTTTAAAGTTGTTAATGTAAAATGGGCCCCAGTGCCAGGCTGGAAGTGCTGGCAGAAGTTCACCATAATGTTATTGATGCTATGAATTATAATATACTTTAATAATATTTAGAGACTAAAATCCATAAAAATATGTTCTGTAAACTTTACAAATAAAGTACAATGTTAAAAGGTTTGTTTTTTTTTTTATAAATTAGTTAAATACATTAAAAAGTAATGGTATTAAAAGTAAAAAGAAAAGTGTCCAATTAAAGCTTTTTAATATGTTCTTATTTCCTTTCAGGACAAGCCAAAGGACCCTCATCCAAAGATAGAAGATGTCCTTCAGGTATGGATAAAATTATACAGATGGCTTTATTATTCGGTCCCTGAGTTTCGGAGTTTTCTGGTAACTAGCCTGCCTGTGTTGTATCCAGACACTTTTAAACTCACGGTGACAGTTGATATTTTTATTGACACAGAAGGCATAGATTCACAGTTCAAGGTAGTCAGTAGTAATCAGTACACCCTGTCATAGATAACGACATGAAAAAGTAAGACAGTGATAAGAAACTTGCAGGATGTACTCCACTTAATCGTATATTATGGCAAAGAGCATAAATGATTCCAAAGGATAAATTTAGTTTAGGAAATAAAATGGTGTTAAGTCCATGCATAATTAGACTTTTTGGATGCAGCGCGACTGATGCATTATACCTATTCTAAGAGGGACACAAGTCCATTGAATTTTGGAAACACAATGAATGAAATAGATTAAAATGCACAATTTTAACCCTTTGCAAGTGTCCCTGGTGGCAGATGGTAAAATAGCCTGAAGACTCAAAATCCTACAACATAAAGTAAAAAAAAATAAAATAACAAAATAAAAGAAAAAGAAAATAAGAGGCTCAGGAGCACTTTAGCAGAAAAGATTAGAATGAAGCAGGGAAGTACTAGGCAGTGCAAACTTGCCTAGATCTATTCAAAACCCTGGATAGATTTTGATGACTGGGGCTGGAATTAAAATGGTGCTTCTTGCTAATACATGGGACTGATGACTTTCATGTACTTGATGACAGATTGATGGTGATTGCCAATGTGATTACCTTGCATAATTTCTAATTAATCACAGTTAGTATTGTCATATAGACATAAGCAAACAAACAAATAAATAAATAAATTAACAAATAAATAAATAAATTAATTAATAATTGAATGAATGAATAAAAAAAAGCAACTTAAGCAATGTTTCAAGGGTATAGTTTTGGACCCCTTGGAATATGGTGATCAATACCTTCTACTATTAATTTTACTGGATGATTACTTAAACTCTAGAGATTCATTGGTTTTCCTTTTGCATTACCTTGATTTGCTTCTTAAAGCTGATATTTTGTCAGGTAGGAATAGTTTGTTTTTCCATTATCTACTCATTAGTAAGATTAGTTCTGGATGGCAAATTTCTTGACAACTATCTAATGAGCAGATATTGCTGAAAATGAAGATTAAAAGAGTAAAGCTTGGATTGAGAAGGAAGAGATAAATGAGAGAAGAGTGGGAATACATAAACAGGTTCTAACAAATGAATAGACAACTAAGCAAACAGATCCTCCCCCACCCAAAAAAAATAAATAAAGAAAGAAAGAAAGAAAGAAAGAAAAAGAAAGAAAGAAAGAAAGAAATAAGGGGGAAATGGATATAAATTGAGTATTTAACAACAATTGGATAGCAACCTGGTCCCAGTTTCACCAAAAAAATAAATAAATAAATAAATAAAAAATTAAAAAAAAAAAATCAAGAAATCTTTGGGGAAGGGGGGGGGGAGGGGGTAAATCTTAGGTTTCCATGCTTCAACTGGCATGTATGCAAAAAAAATTTTTAAAGCACCTGAATCATTAAGAAAACAGAGTACATGTAGTACAATATTAATCTGATGTTTTTGAATATACAGCTATAGCCACATTTATGACTAACAGGCAGTATTGCACATTTGGTGTCAGTCCAATATTGAGGTAAAATGCATTGTTTTAGTTGACTTGATTACAGATTGGACATGAGAACACCAAATTGCAGAGGGTTATATATTTGAAGTTATTATGGATGATTATGTATTGTTTGTAATAATGACTGTGATGTGAACATTCATCATTCTGAGCAATTATTGAGTGTTTTTATCCGTAAAAGCTTATTATATTGTGGCACATTATTTCTAGTTTATGATATTATTTTCCAACATGCCTGACTCAGCTGTCCTATTCACTTTTAAACCACTTTTCCAGGAAATGATTGTGCAACCACCACTTACTGGCCTTGCAACTCCAAGGAAAGAGGAGTCCTCACACTTCTGTTTTCCTGGCTCTAGACCTCCTGTAAGTTTTTATTAATCTGCAAACTACATTGTGTGTTTGGTGTGTGTTTGAGTGTGTGTTTGCATGTGTGTAAGAGAGAGAGAGAGAGAGAGAGAGAGAGAGAGAGAGAGAGAGAGGTTTAAGCTTTCATTAATATACAAACTAATCTGTGCTGTGTGAGTGTTAGTCCTTTCCATTAGTAATCATTTATCTGCCAACTGAACTGATATATGTATGTATGTGCATATATGCATGTATAATGTGGAAGAAATAAAGTTGTAGCATCACATGATGTTGCTGGCACTTTACATAAAGCTTATTCCTTAAAAAAAATGCATCTGAAATGAGAGCGTTTCTTTGTTGACTGGATCCATATTTTCAATTTTCACTCATACTTTGTGTGAGCAACTCAATAACTCTTATTGTGTTGCAAGACTTTTGCCTTCCCTTGTGGAATATTATAAATGCAGTTACAGTGAATGAAGTAACATATCCTAGAGGCTTGGCATTCAGAAAATAAAACACTGTCTTGGTGATTATTGGAATGAGTTTAACAGAAACTGTTGTTTAAGATGAAATGTTTGTTATGTAGGGATTTGGAATAGGAGTTAAAAAGGAAATATTTTGCCAAAAGTGTTCCCATTAAGTGCTCTATAAGTGCTTTATGTTTGTTTGCAAGGTAAAAAAATTCAGCAGCACTAGACAGAAAAAATTACAAGAAACTTTAGTTAAAAGTGCTTTTGCCAAAATATCGTATTGCTTTGTCCCGAGAAAATGAGTGATGTGGATGTGTTTTAACAGTTGGACAAAAAGTCAGTTTTGTACAATCTCCAAATTCAGTTCTTTGTTGCAATTTTTTCTTCAATACAGAAAAAATGTTTTAAAGATGTGACAATATTAACATTGTCATACACACTATTAAAAGAGGTGTGATTTCAGTACCTTGGGACCTCACTTGTAGGTTCAGGGTGATTTCATTACCTTGGTACCTCACTTGTAGGTTCTGACAGATTTCAGTACCTTGGTACCTCACTTGTAGGTGCAGGGTGATTTCAGTACCTTGGTATCTCACTTGTAGGTGCAGGGTGATTTCAGTACCTTGCTACCTCACTTGTAGGTGCAAGGTGATTTCAGTACCTTGGTACCTCACTTGTAGGTTCAGGGTGATTTCAGTACCTTGGTATCTCACTTGTAGGTTCAGGGTGATTTCAGTACCTTGGTACCTCACTTGTAGGTGCAAGGTGATTTCAGTACCTTGGTACCTCGCTTGTAGGTTCAGGGTGATTTCATTACCTTGGTACCTCACTTGTAGGTGCAAGGTGATTTCAGTACCTTGGTATCTCACTTGTAGGTTCAGGGTGATTTCATAACCTTGGTACCTCACTTGTAGGTGCAAGGTGATTTCAGTACCTTGGTACCTCATTCAGAGTGATTTCACTAACTTGCTTCCCCACTTTTCTGAAGGAAGGTGGAGCTACATTGGTCTGGGGTGTAAGGACTGTCAATATTTTAACATACCATATAATTTAAGCAGTTCTCTCAGTTGCTAGCAATTTATCTCTACCTGTTGACTGGATTACATCATTTGACAACTCCTTTGATGGATCTGTCTTACTTTCGAACTGTTGTAAGTCTCCACAAATGCAATCCAATATGATGTGGATGGTTAAATTGGTATGCCCTAAACAAATTTTATATGTTCGTCATCCCTCTTGTTATTGTAGATTTAGATTATTTATTCTTCAGAAAGCAGGTTCAAAGAAATGTAACAAAATAATAAAAGGTAAGCAAATACTTAAGCATATGTTCATGAGATTATGTTTGACCCCATCCATTCACATTGCCCCCCCCCCCCAGTTCTGGGTGCTGGATCTTGAGCAGGTGAAAGGAAATGGAAATGGAAAAATTTGCCCTTATGGAAAAATAAAATTGCAATCCTAGAGTAATTTGCTGATTATTGCAGGTACCTTGTCAACAGTTGTCATTTGGTTTCGTAAATTACTTTTTTAACTGGGAGAGATCACTTGTCATGGAAAGTGTATTCCTGCAGTAACAACCTGTGTAATGCAGACTGGAGTGGAGCTGTGCACAACTTATCATTTTCCACTTCAAAAAACCATTTAAAAAGGAAAAAGGTATTTTAGTAAGGCAAAGTAAGGCCATTAAGTCAGGTTCGCATTTGTGTGTCAACTTGGAAAAAAATCTCAATGTATACAGTGGCATGCTAGTTTAAAGAGCTTTTAGGGCTTACATTACAGCTGTTATAGGTAACGTTTGTAAAATGAAGTACTTCTACGCAGTGCCATTTGACATAAATGTAAGCGAAGGTCGTACAGAAGACAGGCCATGCAGGTGATTATAGTTTGTGGTCATTTTTGCAAAAAAAGGAATGATTTAAGTACATTGAGATGGGGCATTTACCTTAATTTGTTCCAGCTTTGAATTTTTTTCTGGAAATATTTATTTTGAACAGATTTGATAGGTTACATCATTTGAAGAATGGAGAATGAAGATAATAAAGCAATTAAGCCATTGGAAGTTTCGAGAAGGAGAAACACTTGATTTGCAAAAAGGCTTCATAGATTACTATTTGATACAAACCAGACTTTGTGGTTATTTCTTTGGCTGAAAAAACCTCAGACATCACAGAAAACAAAAAGTACAGCAAACAAAAACAGCAAAACAACCGGAACAATTATCTACATAACCTACACAGTAAATTGCTTTTGCAAATATCAGCAGTGGTTTGAGACAAGTGGTGGAGTTAGCAGGAATCTGTTTACATATTTTGCTCTTTCTAATGAAACTGTTGTTTGTAACCACTTAAATGAAAGTATTTTATCAATGCAAATGATGTTTAAATTGGGGCAGTTTAAACTTCTGGAGTTGAAAATTTTTAATCTCTATGAAAAAAAAAAGCAACATAAGAACAGTTGCATGTTACAGTGACATAATTATATAAAGCAACCTAGATTATAGTCTGCTCAGGAATTCAGTTAGCCATGGTATTTGTTGTATGGTAACACGGTACCTTCCTTGCCTTGAAGCTGTCTGCCACTTGTCTCAATTGATGTGGAAATTACCGAATTGTCTGGGTCAGGGATATGAAAAGAGGGGAAAAAAGAAACAGTGAAGTTAATGACTAGATTGTGTGTAATGATAAAATATCTGAAACTGTTAGATGTATCTTAGACAGTCATTGTGTCATGAGAAACCATTACTGCCCTATTGATTTTGAATAAGGCCCCTTTCATGTAGAAATGAAACATCCATAGATCAGCATGGCCTACTATTAGTAATGCATTCTCTATGCCCCGTCTCAACCCTATAGCTGTGATGTTGGATCCTGTGATGTATATATAATATCAGATTAGGGATTAGCATGCTGAACAAAATATTTTATGTCATGCTCTAAGGGAGAAAGAAAAGTAAAATTACTTTTTTGCGCCATTTATTATGATAAGGGCAGGAATTTGTGTGCCGGAATTAATCAGAATCGATGCCATACCATGAGAGACACGGACCTGAACATGGCTGCTTTGTACAAAGTCAGGCGTATGGATGTAAGTGCAGGAAACGGTACTATTTCCTATGCTTTTATTGACCTTAGTGCCTTCTGGGCTGTGTGCCACTGCTGCACAGTCTTAGTCTCTCACATGCAACTTGTCGGGCGACTAGCCTCAAAGAGCCGTCCACTTGTGAGAAAGAAACTCACCTGGTGTTTTGTAGTCGTAAAGACAGCTGGTGTTACGTTTAGTAGGAACAGAAAACAAAGAAAAAAAATTGGGCTGATTGTATTTGAGAAATTTCAATTGTGAAAATGGTGAAATTGAGATTATCAAAGATCAGCTGACTGTTATCGATTCTTCGAGCAGGACTTGCGTAGGATTTGAGCAGTCATGTGCTTTGAGCAGATTTGTACTCTGGAGTTCTTGACATGAGTGGAAAAGTGGCATATTTTATTGCCTGACAGATGCGGTTTATCTCTCACCTTGTTGGAGGAGAAAATAGGATAAAAAAGTGTTTCACCTGGGAATGAGGTGATGATCATTTAAAAATCGCTGAAAATTAGGATTTTGTGGGAGTGCCTGGATGAAGGCATATCGTAGAAAGAACAGTGTGATGCAAAAATTTTTGAAGTGATGATCTGCAAAGCACTGGATAACAAAAGAAGAAAAAAAATCTTCAGAAGTCAGAATGCGAAATGACATTGAATATATTTAAAGGAAACAGTGAGAGAGAAACCCAGTCTAATAATTTGTATCTTGTAAGGTTTTCTATAGAAAATAAAAAAAAAAGAGAAGGGGGGTGAAACCCTGGAAATGTTGTGAACCTAAAGACAGCCAGTGCTGAGATAGTAAATATTACTGTCAGGGGACTTATCACTTCTGATATTACATTGTGGAGCTGTGCCCAGTAATTGCCCTTGAGGATAGAGCCTACACCATTGTTGTATTCTGGAAAAGGTCAGACAGTCAAGTGAATACATTACGTCAGTTGATGAAATCTACCTTATGACAAGACAAATTTAAGCAAGGTCTGTGCTACTGTACTTTTCTTGCTTCTCTTCCCAGTAATTAAAAAATTCTTTAATATATATATATCTATATTAAATATATATATTAAGAAACTTACAGACAACAATGCATCCTTTGAGCTGTCAGGCAGTGGGCTGGTTATTTGGTCCATTAGCCAATACAGCGGAGGGAAATTAAAATGCTCTCTAGCGTAAATTGCTTTCACATTCACAACTTGCAGTTCACTACGTGACAACTAGACCCACTTCAGGAATCAATTCCTTGTACCACTACACTGTTTTGCCTTATTGACATCAACTTTCTATCAAAATTGGATAAGTCTTATTGGGAGTGTTTTTTGTTTTTTTTTTATCCAGTTTTTCCCTCTTTGCACAATGTGACAGGATTCTATTGGCATGCTAAGATCATTCTTGCAGAGTTCGTGCTCCTCAGGGAACGGACGGCATTATTGGCTAAAGTGCATTAGCTTGCGAAACCAAGTAATCCCCAGGAAAAAGAACACGAGTTCTGACATCCGTTGTGATGATACTCCGGTTTGTGACGGACAAGAGTGAGAAGCGTGCACTTTGTGGACAGTTCTGTTTGGCAGATGGATGATATTTCACATCAAAACTCAACTCCATTGGATGATTATTATGTTTTTTCTTTATGTGTGTGTGTGTGAACTCAATGGTGATAACCCACTTATGTTTGGATCTTGGATGCTATTTATTGTGAAACCAATATGGATAATGATGTACTTAAGTGCGAATATCTTGACAGTGATTCATTTGGATGAAAATTGACGGTATTCTGTTTTGGATATATATTTACCAAAGGATGAATTACATTTTTTTTCTCCATATTACGGCAGTATGGTATTGCGTATGATTTAATGAGAGTTTGGTGAACCTTCACATGCCTGTTTCATTTGCAATGCTTTCTCTGTTCAAGGAGGAGGCCCTGGCAAATATAAGGAGGAACAGCACGGTCTTGTCACGTAAGTTGAAACTTTTCAGTTTGACTACTTAGCTTTTCATTGTTTAATGCATATATAAACTTGACCAAAAAAGTTGGGAAACATGAAATTGTTTTTCAGTAATTAAAAAAAAAAGTGTTGTGTGGTGGGAAAATGGTTTGTGCATTAGCAATCAATATTTGGTTAAAATATTTACCATAGCTCTTATGGTTATTTTATAATTATCAAAATGGCGAAGTTTTCAAACTTTTTTGGTCGAGTTTATTTTATGTTGATTGTCTTTTCCTAACGGATTACTAGTATGTGATTATTTACCATTTAGTCAAGACTTTTTTTTTTACACTCTCTCTACAAACGTATATATTTTCACCTGCATGCATGTGTAATTGATTCGGTATTCATTGATGTTGACAAACAATGGAAAAGAAAGTCTTTTATAAGTGCAGATACACTTACAAATATCTTTTAATTGATTTTGAAACCCTCTGAGGTGCATATACTAGATGTTGTTTACATTTTGATGGATGTGACATACACTGTTATCAGAATTAATGATCAAGTATGCATGCGTGAATACACATATGTGCACACATGCACTCACACACACATCCACACACACACACACACACACACACACACACACACACTTCCTGAGAAATACATAACATCTGACCCTAACAAGTATGCTTTATTGAGCAACTGGTATGAGAGCATTAAAATCAAGTAGTTGGTGCACAGCAGGTATCAACCATTGGAATTCTTTCACACTCTCTGCCTGGAAACATCTGATGGTCTTTATAGTTTTAAAGCATCTTGAAGGAAAACTCCAAAATTCTTGGAAGAGTCTTCATTACTTTTAGTTGACCTTTTGAAAGGTGACATAGCTCAAGATGTTTTTCTTTTACTGGTCCAGTCATTATTTTTTCAAAGATCTGTGTGAATTCCTGCAGAAAGTAATCTCTCCTCAGGCTAGAGGACTGATTTAAATGTTTTACACTGTTATTTTAGCAGACTAGAAAGTAATCCAATTGACTGAATATTTTGTGTGGAATTTTGGCATTATGACCTGTGGTTCTAAGAACTAAATATTAGAAAGACAGTGAGTGGGTACATCGCGCTGCACTCAATTGACTTGTTCTGTTATATGTACGAATGCAGACAAATATACGGCGCATTCTTTCCTGGTGACTGGCTCTGGATAACTAAAGATATATGTCACGTTTCCCTGTTTATTTGAGTACAAAACAACACCCAAGTGAGTGGGAGTTGATTATTATGGTACACACTGGATGCACCAGCTATTCTTCTGTATAACATAATACTAGAATGCTTTATTAAGTTCATCTGAGCTCTGAACAGGTAAAAGACTGTGACCAGGAAAATAAAAAGGATAAAAGGGTTGTCAGTTTGTTATTTCTTTTGATTGACTAAAATTGATTGGACGGAAAAATTTCAGCCTGGTGGTTAAGGCATGGGTCGTTTGATAAAAAAATTACTGTAGGTGTAATGGAATAAATGAAAAGACTGTTGTAAAGGATTTTGAAAATCAGAATAAAAAGAAGGGAAGTTAAGACTCATAAATAGCATAGTGAAATAACTGCTCAACTTCTTTAAGTGCTGTCACACTTAGCGTATAGCACTAATATAAGAGATGAATTGGCCATACACAGGCTGGGGTAGCGCTAACACTCGCCAATTTAGCCAAATGCTAAAACTGACTTAAATTGGCTAAAGAAAAAGGGCTTGATTTGACTTGTTTTAGCCAAATTCTAACCATTTTGATAACAAATTGACAAAAATTTGGTAATTTGGCTAAGCCAAAAAAAATTGCTAACACTACGCCAGACAGGGTTTGATAGACTTATGTTAGTGTATGTTTGCATAAGAGCGGGTAATAAAATGCTTTGAGCATGTTCAAAAACAATTTCATACTCTGCTTATATGTTCATTTTCATGTGCTGGAAAAAGGGTGATTTCATATGCTCAAAGTTGTATGTGAGTTTCCCATATTTAAGTGTGAGCAGTTCTTTTCTCACACCAGTTCATGATGGCTTGTTTTTTCATGCACATGGTACATGCAGATGCTTTTTCCCATTTCTTCTAAATTTTCTGTTTTGGATGAACCTGTAAGTGAATGGTTGTCATGTATGATTTTGAGCCAAATGGAAATGTTAAAGTCTGATGAACCATGCCGTTTTAGATACTAATTAACATAGTGTTGTCCTAGGCACCTACAAAAATTACACATAGCCAGAGATACCAAAACAGTAGTAAATGAAAATCTATTTGGGCAAAGCATGGCTTCTTTTGTAGGTATGTGCTTGAATTGCGGTTAAAATGTGTGGATTCGAGTGGTTTGCAGTAATGAGATTTTTAGTCTGTCTGACTTTTGCGGAATTTTTGAGTTGGATACAGAGGGCTCCAGAACCCTACACCATATTTTCAGACTTTTTCATTAAATGGCAGACTCGTCCCAGGAATTGCTATAAAGATGTATAAGATGGCAAAATTGGTGATAACTCTATTCCAGTATTTATCCTGAATCTAATCTCCTCAGTTTAGGAGAGCAGGTATTTTTGTTGAATGTTGATTTTGTTGACATTCACCTAGTACTGTTGACTCAATTTGTAAGATGAAAATAGACACAAAATAAATGAAAACAGTCTGTGCATAGAATAACAATTTGAAAATCGTGGTTTGTGGTCTGCCATTATTACATGGTTTGTCTACCGTGGTGGGTCAGTTTTACTTTCCGTATATGGATATTTTGATTATATACTTTTTATAAACTTTTGTAGCATAAAAACATGAAGTGCCATGTTTATTATAACACCAGAGGACTTGAACTCTTGGCAATAAACAAGCAAGGTCAAACAAATTTGGATTGATGTTGTTGAATTTTAATAGAAACCCGTCATTTACCACCCAGAAAACAAATTTTGAAAAGACACAGAAGGTTCTTGGAAATCCTAGATTTATTAGGTATTATCTATCTGGGGGCTGATGTTTGAAAAACCCCACTCGTTGCCACGTGATTACAGATGATTAGTATTGACAATCTGATTCTCTATCTCCAGTGTACCCTTTGGTGGCTATGACCTTTACTCTAGAAGCAACAACAACAAAAAGCATTCTTTCACTGATGTTTTTTTTTTTTAAACTTTTTTAGGAAGTTCAGTTAATTTGAATGGTTTATTTGATAACAAATTTGGAGAAATAAAAAGTGTACGTGCTAGATTGTTTCAGTATACGTTCAACACTTTTGCTTCTAGTCTCATAAGGTCAGGTTTCATCTTGGTTTGATTGAAACTGGTTTATGTTTGGATGGCAAAGAACCAAGTTGTCTGCAGTTTACCCCAAGGCTTGTCTTATTGAATGAAAACAGATAGTAAGATATGAGCTTTAAGGAACTAGATTTTTGGACAACGAGTCTGTCCTGAGTTGGAAAAAAAAAAACACTGATACAAATATTGGGTTTTGAAAAATGTGTCGGGATTCTAGATCAGATTAATCGGCAGAAGTAGTTTTTAAAGCATATTAGCTGTGAGAAAGATTTGCATAAACCACCAGTAGCTGTGGCTTGTGCTAAATTTCACAATTCATTCAAGTTGTGTAATTAATTATTATGGAAGTTTAGTTCTGACCACTTTCACATAGCTACATTGTTGAGAAAAAAAAACTGAGTTGAACTGTTGAAATGGAGATAATGAGCATTGAGGATAGTTAGATTGTAGAAAGAAATATAAAGGGAGAATCACTCAATCATTTGCCAGCTTGCTTATTTCCTGGGGCTTCTTTACAGTTTATTGATTATTTTCGTCTTTTCTTCAGTGCCCAGTGTGCGCGCGGGTAATGACACATTCTTACATAGTTTCACTTATCTTGTACACTTCAGGGAATCAATGGGGAAGTTCTAGATAATAGGAACTGAGATAAGCATTAACTGTAAGTGCTAAATTCAGACTCGTCCTGTTTTTGCCCCATTGAAAAAGGTTGCTGGAAATAAGACAATCTGGGTTTTCTATGAAACCAGTTGGTTTTAAAATAACATTCGCTGACTATATTTAGATCATAAATTGCAAGAATAATCAAATGTATTTAAGGATATCCTGATTATCTGTTTTCTATTTATATGGCACTGCTTCTACTAATATACTGTTGAATTTGACAAGATCTATATATTGCCATGCCTGTTATTATTGTATTGAATTTTTTAGAATTTTTCAACCAATTTTCTACCAAATTACATTGGCTATTTAGGTTGCAGCCTATTCTGTGAATCACTTTTTAAAATTTTGAGGAATGTTTTAAAAGCTTTATCATCAAAGCAAATTTGTCCAAGACAGGTTCTTGCATATGTTCATCAGGGGCCCACAGACAGCATGTTTCCTGACTTCAGCCTTTGAAGTCGTTTTTGGATCAAAGCATAGCTTCTGCTTTGATAGTCCTGAGCGAAGCAGAAGACCTCTGTGTAATTAAAGTAATGTTTCTGAGAAATGGGAGCGCTGGTATGAAGTTATAAAGCAGTGTATGCAGGTTTACAGGTTTTAATGCAGAGCACTTAGAGCTTTTGTTTTTTGGTAAACCGTTTAGCACGCACATGCTTCCGATTGCTTATTATTTATTGCGATACTCTACTTTGGGGATCAGTTTGAGACACTTGCAGTCAATCAAACGAGTGCTTTCCCATATCGCTTCAATTGATTTGTTTCTGCTTGAAGTGACCTGGTTTTGTCTTTTTTGTCACCTGCTGGTGTATATGTTGATAACACAATGGAGAATGAACCAGCAGGATTTCACCTGGCCATTATGAGTGTTTTCAACTAGGCGATAGAAAGCCAGTGGTCTTTCCACACCCACGTTACCCAATTTACAGTGAACTTTATCTCACCCCATAAATAGAGAAATGATAGACAAATAACCTCAGAATTCACGGTGACACATGCGAAGCTAGAATTATGTTCAAATCATAAGCCCGTTTATCCGCAGAATGCCAGTGTATTGGAAAAGTAGTTGAAAGG